CACCGGTGCTCCGCTTTCAGAGTGATTGTCGTTCAGAACATTCTGCCCAACACCAATCTCGTTTTCTTGAGAAGTCATTTTCGTTTCTTAACGTTTTCCGAAAACACAAAAAAATAAGTTCGTTCACCAAAGTGACAAACTACGATTTAAGATTGTTTACCACAGTAGAACAATCAGCAAATACGTTTTAAGATTGTTGGGTGTGTTTCGGAAAATAAAGGAAATTAATTAAAATAAATTAATTAAATAAAATGACTAGAGAAAAACAAGATAGGAGATGAAGCAGAATTAGTCAAAGCTCGTACTACGCACGATGTCCTTAAAACGTATTTGTTGCCTCCCACGGTGCTAGGAGCGTTGCAACAATCGTTTCCCAGGATACGATGACTACGAACTAATGTTTCAACACACAAACAATAGTTCCAGCGAACGAGAACCAAGTATGAACACAGAAGGAATTTGCAGAGTAGCTGGAAGTGTTTTTAGCTCAAGAAAACGTGAGGAATGTATTGTGTGTTGTGTCTTGTTGCAAACCACCTGCCAGCTATTTATAGGAGGATTTGTTGTGTGTTAAATGTAGTGTTAATGGACCTGAACGATGGACATCAATGACCAGTGCGTTGGGCATTGAATCGTCCATAAACTGTCCATTTAACGCAGCATTAAAAGATAAGAACGTTGGGCATTAACGGTAGAATTGTGCGACAGAAGACCCCCAACAGAACACCCCTTCGAGGGGTTCTGCCCAAAGCCAACAGAAAACTTCTGGGAAAAAATAAGCGTTTCGGGAAAAAAACAAAAATTAACCGTATCTCTTGAGAGATAGATTTTTGGACGACATTCGTGTCCGCAGGTCGCTCGTGCACACGAGTCGCGGTTTTTCTTCTCTGTTTCAAGATTTGATCGGCACCCCCCCTGAGCGTAAGAGAAAGCCTTTACCTTTAGGAATCTTAACTCCTTAAAAGAGGCTTCCCTTTATAAGGGGGTGAAAATCCCTTGAGTTTTCCGGTGTGGGATAAAACACACTAGAAACCCAGCATTTTCCCAGTTTTTCCATTTCAACGAGTGAACTTCGAGAATCAATTTCGCATTCACCCGTTATCCGTTTTGAGTGTACCACATATCGAATTGTAGCCCTTAACAAGGACAATCCGAAACCACTTTGACCCGACCCAAATCGAAAGTGGACCCCACTCAAATAATTGCCCCAAAATGACCATTTAATGCAATTTTTAACACATTTTTCCAACAGTTAATCGTTGCTCTGGCTGCCGGAGGAAGATCGATTTGACCGGGTTTGGCTAAGGTCCGACGACGGAGTTTGGATGGTCCAAATTTGGTGTTCGTTGCAATGAGGTAGTGAGGTGTCGTTTTTTTTTGTTTTGCAGAGAGAGCGTCGATAGAGTTGGGGACAGAGGGTATTTTGGTCCCTTCATGTGAAAATTAGTCCTATCTGCGAGTTAAAAAGTCGGAGCTCCTATTTGCCTTCCGCGAGTATGTTTTAGTCTTAGTTATGTCTTTTTCCCTTTTTTTTGGGATATTCAGTCTCCCAATCAGCCTAAAAGTGCTTGGATATCACATCTCACCGCTTGTTCTTATCTCGACATGTCAAATTCGTCCCTCATATTTATCCATCCACCTCCTCCTCCCAAATAACTCTCACTCCTATCCTTACGTCCCAGGCTGCCTCCCATGCACGTGTCCCCTTCCAGTCAACATCCACTCCTACAAATCCTCCCTTATCTCCTAATTTAACTCCCATAACCCATACGTCCCCCAATTCTATTCCTACCCATCTTTCCCACCCAATCATTCCCCACCCCATCAAACTCATAGTCTCATATCCCTTCGTCATGTATATTTCTTTCCACCACACTGTCTCAAATACAACCTCCCCCATCTACGTCAATACCCACTACCCATGACCCTCATTTTCCTCCCTCCTCCACCTCGAGTCAACTTGTGCCTCATGCATCCCATGCACTGTCTTCTTCCACAAACATAACATCAACCCCTCCCCGTTCCAAACGCCAAAAACACCCTAACCCCAAATACTATGTCCCTTCTTATATCAACACCTCTACTGTCCATACTCAAGTCCCCACTCTTGAACCTCGGACCGTCACTCAAGCTCTCAAGGACCCTCTCTGGTGCCTCGCCATGGATGATGAATTTGCCATCCTTCAAAAGAATCATACTTGGGACCTCGTTCCCTATACGGGACAACACACCGTTGTATGTAAATGGGTATTTCGAGTCAAACGCAAACTCGATGGTTCGGTTGATCGCTATAAAGCCCGATTGGTCGCAAAAGGATATTCTCAAGAGGCTGGTCGTGACTACTCTGAGACTTTCAGTCCAGTTATGAAACCAGTTACGGTTCGTATCATCTTATCTTCAGCATTAAATCATGGGTGGTCTATTCGTCAGTTCGACATCAACAATGTCTTTCTTAATGGTACTTTACATGAAGTTGTATATATAGATCAAGCTCCAGGTTATGTTGATCATCATCATCCAACTTATGTTTTGCCGTCTGCACAAAGCACTTTACGGACTCAAGCAAGCCCCACGGACGTGGTATATTGAACTCTCTACTTTCTTGGTCAAGTTCGCATTTTGCAAGTCAAAGGCGGACCCATCATTATTTGTATACACTTCCCACGGTGTCATCATGAATTTTCTAGTTTACGTGGATGACATTGTCCTCACTGGGAATGATGATCGTTTCCTTGATCAGTTTGTTACGTTACTTGTTGCTCACTTCTCTTTAAAGGATTTGGGTTCACTTCACCACTTTCTTGGCATAGAGATGGTCTCTACTTCATCTGGTATGTTCTTATCCCAATCTCAATATATTTATGACATTTTGGTCAAGTTTCACATGGATGGCGCCAAACCGGTCTCTACTCCTATGGCCTCTCATGAGCGTCTTCCACCGGCCAATCCCTCTCAAGCTGTGGATGCTTCTGAATATCGCCGCTTACTTGGTCTTCTTCAATATCTTGGCCACACGCGTCCAGACCTTTCCTTTGCAGTTAATAGGCTTTCCCAATATATGCATGGTCCTACAGATGCTCATTGGTCAGCTGCTAAACGAGTATTACGATATCTCAAGGGAACTCCATGTCATGGCTTATATATTCGGTCTGGCTCTCTCTTATCACTCACAACATTTGCGAATGCTGACTGGGGTGACTCCACAACCTCAGGGCGTTCCACCACGGCATATATTCTTTATATTGGTTCTAAGATCATATCTTGGAAGTCCGCCCTGCAGAAATCTTTCTCTCGCTCGTCTACGGAAGCCGAGTATCGTGCTATTGCAAATGCCACTGCTGAAATTCTTTGGGTCAAACACTTGTTAACCGAACTGGGTGTCTCACTTGCCAGTGCACCAACTTTGTTCACAGATAAACTTAGTGCTACTTATGTTTGCAAAAACCCTGTTTTTCATTCTCGCATGAAACATTTATCGTTGGATTATTTCTTTTTTCTCGACCTTGTGGCAGATGGCTCATTATATGTTCGCCATGTTTCATCCAAGGCTCAACATGCAGATGTTCTTACTAAACCCCTTGGATGATCTATGTTTCTTCATTTCCGATCCAAGATTGGTGTATCCGACGGGTCCTCCATCTTGCGGGGGCGTGTAAAGGATAATAGTTAATTTATTTATTATTATGATAATCATTACTTGTATATATCTCTTAGCATGGTTGTTACACCAACCTTATACGTAGACATGTAGTAGAATTGTAGTCAAACTCTATCCCTCTGTATTATTTATACCCATGTATTCTCCAATTGTAAGCAATGAGAATTATCTCTTCACATTTACTTTACACAAAAAGGACATAATTTGATTTCGTACAAATAGTTTGCTAATATTTACTCCATACAAGAAAGATAGTTTATTTGCTAATATTTACTCCATGTTGCTATCTCTCATTCTACATGTGCACCGTGTACATTGTAACATTGAAGATGCTACATAACAAATATATCTTGCAAGATCGTAATCATCGTATAATTATATCTAGGCAGAACACATAGATATTAGATGCCCATAACAAATAGACGAGTCTGAAACTAATGCTTGTGATCAAGGTTTTAAATAGCGGACCGCTACAGGCATAGCGGCCACGGGCGGCTCTGCTACCGCTATAGGCCTTTATTGCGGTGTGGATGCAAATCACGATGAAATCCGCTACGTAATCGCGGTGTAGGCGCAACGGAGCCACTACGTCGCCGCATCTGGCCGCCTCTGGTCGATGCAACTGCATCACCATTGACGAAGCTTGGGTATGGTCATTGAGCTGAAGGAGTACGAATATTTGGATTCCTATCTTGTGCGAACTTGAATATTTCACGCCGCATCGGTCGCTATACGCATCGCAACGACCACATTAGCCATTACCGCTATGACCGTTACTGCTTCCGCAACCGCTATTTAAAACGTGATAATGTCGAATTAGGAGTAATAGACATTCTTCAAATAATTTCACATACAACAATTGTCTAATGAATTAACTCAAGTCACTCAACACATTCTTTTTCGGACAGGTCACTCAACATATTTTTTTTTAAATAACTAACGTGTATATATAAAAAGTGTGGAAATGAAAGTGTACAAATATAATTTTGCAAATTTTGAGCCCGTTTTGTGAATCTGTTTTTTGTCTCATCAGACCTAACAATTATTTCGCGCCCTGAATAGTGTAATAATAAGAAAAAGTAAGTATGTAGTTACTTTTCTGGTTGTATTGGATGAAATTACCGCATATGACTTTTTTAGCTATTTTTTCATATATTTTTTCCTTTACTTTATTAATAAAATATACTACGTATTTTATTTTACTTTTCATAAATCACCAGATCAGCCAATACAATCATTTGAGTCAGAACTTTATAAATTTCAACAGAATAAACCAATTCGAAGGTCCAATTTATTAATTAATTAATCCTAATTTTCAAATCTTTCATAACTCCCTGTAAAGGAAAAGGTGGACATCCTTATCATCACCATTATCATTCATCATTTTCACTTAATGAATCACGAAGCGAAAAAATAATGGGCAGCACTATGAAGGGAGCGAAAAAGCCGATCAATGCCGCGAAGGCGTGGCTGAAGGCGCAACCGCCCAAGATGAAGGCTTTTCTGGTTTTTACAGCTGCCTTCTCCGCCATTGTTTTCCTCCGCCTCGTCGTCGAAGACCATGACAACCTCTTCATCGCCGCAGAGGCTGTCCACGCCATCGGCATTTCCCTCCTCATTTATAAACTCACCAAGGGCAAAACTTGTGCCGGTACGTTTTGCATTACTTTTCGCCATTCTTATAATTATCTCCACAATTACAATGATCGATTTGGCAATTCCTGACCTGATTGATGATTTCTTTTTCTGAAAATGTGACATATTGTATTGAATTTTCTCCAGTTATCGTTGTTCTATAACGAAATCAGGACTGGGCAAAGTTTACCATTTAACCAACAATTGGAGCATAGAGATCTTGCTACGTATTTGCATACATATTTCTCCTTACTGTTTGGTAAACTTGTTCGGGAATGTAAACGGTTTAAAATTAAAGGGGCTAGCCGTTCATGATATTAACTCAGAGCCCGTTTGGCAGCACGAAAATCGTCTGTTTTGGTTGATTCTGCTGAAATTTATGAAGTTCTGGCTGAAGTGGCTGCATTGGCTGATTCTGTTGATACAAGAAAAAAATATTTTTAAAATATATTTTATTAATAAATAAAGGAAAATTATATGTAAAAATAGCTAAAATGATCATCTACAGTAACTTCAGCCAATACAGCCAGAAAAGTAACTCCAACCTTACTTTTTCGGCTTATTACACAATTCAGCGCGCGAAAGCAAAGTTTACGTGTTTGGTAAAAAAGTTGGCTGATAAGCCTGATAAGCCGAAAATGAGGGTTGCCAAACGGCCTCTCAATCTTAATTTGGATATTAATGAAATCCAAGCTCTGTTTAAGTGTTCTTCTTCTTAAATTATTATCACACTTCCCTAAATGATTTCTTAAAGTACCTCTAAGCATGTCAATATCAACCAGAGCAAAACTCAACTCATTTATTCTATGAACAAGCCCATTTTATTCTAAGAGTATCATTAATTTGTCATGGACGCAGTCATGTGATCTGGCCCATGTGGGGGTAAGTACCTTGAAACAGATTCCCTTTGTAACCATCTCGGACTCTTGAGTTACAATTAAGGATAAACATGTTTTGCATGTGTCGATCTCAAATTATATAACACAGAGGTCAAAAGTAAATGATTGATAATCGCAACAATTTTGCCTTTTGTTATTCAAATAGTCTACTTATTAATAACGTAGAAACACAAATCCTATCATTTAAAATATGTTAAAATTTATCTCATTGTTTATTTTCAATTTTCCAATTTTATGAATACAACATTAGTATTAGTGATCAATGTCATGTACATGTGAAAGTAAAAAAGTGGCAACTAAATAGATTGGAGAAAGGATGTAATGCTTTAACACAATATACTTTGGCTTCTAAGATTTGACCACTTCACTTTAGTACTGATATTGAATAATGTCAATAATCCTGGCTGACAACTTTGTCTACCCAAGCTAAGCCTTCTAAGTATTTATATACGTTTAGTGATTTGTTGACGTAGTTGTATAAACTATTAAGTATACTGATCAGTATAACGTTGTTGCGGTATTCTTTTAAAGAGACACACGCCTTGTTTGACTGGGATCTTCACACTATAAAATGCATAATCCAGAGCTTCTTTCGCTAAAGCTTCTCGTTTGATCCCCTCTTTATTTGGAACTTTGAAATATATTTATGATAGCTCCATAAAATTAGGAATACCTTTTTGTATTCTTTCCCTGTTATTGTGGCATATTTTTATGTGTTATTGGGGAGATAGGGTTTTGTCAAGAAGTAAATACCCCAATATCTATGTTGCTTGAAAGTTGAAACATTGGATATTCTCATATTTAATTTTTTATGCAAACCTTTGAGTGGTGCTTACATGTCAACGGCTTACACATAAGTACATAGTCTCTTCATCCCTAAATCTTTTTTTCACTTTCGGTTTTTGACAATCCCAAATCCTTTTAAGAAAAGAATTGAATAGTTGATGCCGATTCTTTTATTTCCAAATAAATTTCAACCACACAATTTCATTTGTCAAAAAGTAGTGTTAAGAAAGCAAACGAGAAGAAAACACAGGAGGGCATGACAGATGTAGTATATTTTCACGTGACTGCAACTGCATTAATGGGGGATAATATCATTGTTGATTTTGAAAAACAAACCAAGTCACACTCTTAATAGGGAAGTTATTACTTATAGCATTCAAAACAACTAATTTATCAAACGGCTTTAACTATTTATAAATTGATTATTTGTTGAAAATTACATGAAGTATTCTCAATAGTGCTTAAACATATCCTCGGAGGTTCTGGATATCATTTGCCTTTTTTATAAATTATAATGCAACACACTGAGCCTCTGATAAGCTACTTTCTACGGCAATGTTTATCATTTAGTGAACCTTATGCCCTTTTTAGTGGATTTATGTTTTATTTTTTCACATGAAACACATAATATAGATATAATGTAGCACTGTGGTCAATGTTTGTTTATAATTAATATTAATATCTAACCTCGAGACTTTGCTTAGTGTCCAAATTACAAGGCTCTTCCCAAAAAGTAAAAACCTCACCAAGTGTTAAATATGATCATAAAATTTGATATATAATGTGTATTTACTTGTTATCTAAATTTATTCAGGATACAACGAATTTTCATTCAGGTGAATACTTAGATCAAACAGCAGGTTTTTTTAAATGGCCAACTAAATGTACTGTTTTGAAAATGTTCAGGACTTTCACTGAAATCACAAGATCTCACGGCTATGTTTTTAGCTGTAAGACTTTACTGCAGTGTTGTCATGGAGTATGACATACATACTCTGCTTGACTTGGCTACATTGGCAACAACTGTATGGGTCATTTATACCATCCGCTTTAAGTTAAATTCCAGTTTCATGGATGATAAAGATACTCTTTCAATATACTATTTGGTTAGTACTCCTTACCTCGTTACTAATATTTATATCATTATTGCTGATATTACTACTATTAGTATTATATTAATGATAATGATGATTAGTGATTTTTTGTTGGTATTTATAATTTCTCCTATGTTGGCATTAAAATAAGAAAACAGGTTATACCTTGCGCTGTACTGGCTCTAGTTATCCACCCATCCACAAACCATCACATATTCAACCGTATTTGTTGGGCTTTTTGTGTGTATATGGAAGCTGTTTCAGTTCTCCCCCAGCTACATGTCATGCAGAACACAAAGGTACAAAATAGAGAGCACATTCAGTAATATCTCAAGTTATTACATTTAGAACCTTATTACTCTGAGGTGACATGTGCATGGTTCTGCTTTTAAGGTTATTGAACCATTCACTGCGAATTATGTTTTCGCACTGGGAATTTCAAGGTTCCTAAGCTGTGCACATTGGATTCTCCAGGTCTGATTATGCAAATTGTGTGCATATTTCGAATGTGCTTTTTGTTGTTATATGTGTCTAATGTGGTTTAGTCAATGTGCTATGCAACATTCATGTAGATGATAGATTCTCGGGGAAGCTTGTTAACAGCTTTGGGTTATGGTTTGTGGCCACCGATGGTCATCCTTTCTGAGATTGTCCAAACTTTTATTCTGGCTGATTTCTGCTACTATTATGTTCAATGGTATGTTTTCACCTTGAAGAAATGATGTGATCCATAGTTCGACTTCATTTTAAATATTAGTGTTATTACTATTATTATTAGTATTACTCGCCCTGTCCCATAAAATTCTTCCTACTTACAACTTGGGATGTCTCAAACAATTCTTCCTATTTTCCTTTTTAGAAAGTTTTCTGTGTCTAACATTCATTTACTTTTTTCTTACTTAACCATAATTATTCATTTCTACTTTATTCTCATTGTCTTAAACTTTGAACCAAGTTAAACCGGAAAGAATTTTATGGGACGAAGAAAGTATTATTACTATTACTCTATTATATTTCAATGGCATACTAGATCTTGTTTTTGTGTTTGTCAATTGCAGCCTTTTTGGTGGGAATCTAGTGATGCGCCTTCCCTCTGGAGTAGTCTAACAAACTCATCTAAGTTTTGTCATGTCGGGAGGGAACTCTTTTGGCCTCTCCATAAAAGTAGTCCACTTGAGAATACAAACATCCTGCTTGGCATCAAAGTGGGTGTAATTTGGGGCTTGTAGTTTGATTTGTTGAATACCATTTCTTACTCAATAGGTAATTATATTTTGATGGTGTCTAGCACTCTAGCATGCCACAATACTCAATAGGGTTTTTTCTTCTTTTCGCAGTTTAGGGTTTAGTGAGAGTTAGAAAAAAAAAACTCTTATCAGTATGTTTGCAACATTTGCTCGTTTAGCTAATTTAGCCGAAATCACTAATGTGAATGTATTGTGTCTCAGCTATGAAGTGTTTGAATGAAAATGATTTACTTAAAAATTATAATACGGAGTACTTTTTTTGAAACAAAATAAATGATCTTCACGCTTTTAAGTATAAATAAAAAAGGGGTAGGTGTGTTCGTATTTCATTCCAGCTTCCAGCCTAGGGATAGACTTGGGTTGGTCCGGTCCCGGTTCCTGGTCGAGGCTATCCGGCCAAAAAAAATTCAAAAGGCCCAGGTCTGAAACACTTTTTCCGGGTTAGGGCCAATTCCGGGTACTGGCCGGTCCGGTTCCAGCCTCGGGCCCTTAGACCCAGTTCCCATTATATTTTTTACCTTTTTGCCAGCCGAAGATTAAAAAGCGGGCAGGGACCAAAACCGGTACTAGAACCACCTGATTTAGTCCCCAAAACTGGGAATCGGGACCGTGAACCGATCAAAACGGACCCACTCCGGGCTGAAACAGTGCCGGACTGGGTCCACCCCTATTCTAGAAAATGTAATTACTAATTACATTAGTACATCTAGTTGACAAAAAATCCATCATACCAATTTGTGCCTCAAAGTTCATTATTTGACTTACTTTGACCTTCATAGAGTTTTAAAGTGTACCTGCTTTGAAACAATTTAACTTGCAATTATTGTTATTTCAAGATAACAAAGTAGATTGGTATGAAAAAAATGACTCTTATACAAACTTTTGTACACACCTATGTTTGTGAAAGCCTTTTTTTGCACAAACAAAATATTGTCTGTGAACCGGGTTCATAGATAAAAAAAGCTTCACAAACATGGTGTGTATAAGGTGTGTACAAGGGTGTGTACATCAAGCATGGTTGTATCATATGATTCCATACCAAATAAGAGCAACTAATTTTATTCACGAGCATTCCTAAAAATGCATGAAATTTAAATACGAACTCAATAAAGAATTAAGCAAGAGAACTTTCTCTTTAGTTATTTGACTATTCTCAATATCTCACAATGACACTTTTTTGGTATTGGATTTTGAAATTTTCCATTTTAATTAGCTCTCCAAACTAAATCACCTTAGTCTATGAACTGTAGTAGTGTAGTCTACAATATTTTTAAAAAGTACATGGCCACGTAACCATTCTTATTTGGTCTGGAACTAAAGTCAGTCCAGATAAAAACATTCTTATAGCAACCCCGGATGCTGGTTCCAAACCGAACAAGAAAACTGAGCTACCCGTTTCACTTCGATCCGGGGCCACGTGTGAGAAAAAACCATAACGTTGTATCCATTTTACACATAAATTGGCACAAAAAATTGCACGCAATTACATACTCATCACACTGTAAAATATCAAAAGAATTACATGAAGTGATACTTTTATAATCATATTGAGTGCAATATATATTCAAAATGACCTTTACAAATAATATAGAGATATTCAAACCGGGGAAAAAGATGAGCACAAGAACAAGACGGGCGAACTGTATCCAACACACCAGTAGTACAATTACTCCAATCTAATGAAGGCGAAGGTGTACCATAAGTTTTACTGCAAGGTAAAAATTGAAAACATAGCCAACTGCCATCTAACACATTCACTCCTGCTTTTCCAATTCTCCCATTCTCTCTATAATGGCCTGCACTTCGTGACAAATAACTCCTCGTCAATGTCAACCCACACATGATCCTATTATATACTATCCTCCTTTCCATAAAAGTTGAAACAATTTGACTTTCACGTTTGCCAACGCGCAACTTTGACTGTAATTATATTTATTCATGTATTAGTAAACATTAAAAAAAGTTAATATATTGGAAATTTACATTAATACAAATTTATTAATATTTTATACATAATATTTTTATTATATATATTATTAGAAAATCGTAGTCAAAGTAAGGTGTGTGAATAGTGAAGAAATTCCAATGTTGCAACTTTAATGGAACGGAGGAAGTATGTGCAAAGCGATAGCATACAGTTCGGGTAAGTTAACTATAACCTTTTTACTCGTTTCTTGGAGCTCCCCAGCAAGGATAAACTCGTCGAGAATCAGATATACCTTTTTGTAGGAAAGCAATTGAATCAGAAAAAACTTCAATACTCTATACAACTTTTTTTAATGCAACGATAAACACTTCAATGATGTCAAAATGAGATATAATGTAACAAGTGCCTAACCTTGTGAAAGTTGAAAACCAAATCTAGCTCACACACGTTGCTGAAGAAGTGATCCAATATTTCCACAAATAAGTGGATGCACTCCAAGTAAGCCAACTCATTGTCTGTTATATCAACACACAGCGAGAAAAACAATCCCGCATATCGCCGGTAGATAACTTTGTATGTTCGGAACTGAAGACAAAACAACAGTGTATTACTTTATTGCACTTATGAGCTTTTTTGCACTTATAAACTAGACCAACATTTCTTTATATTACAAATCTAGAAACAGTGCCAAGGAAGAACTAACGACACTGAAGCCATATATAGATATGTTTAACCAGAGATATCCTGTACATAACCAGCATGGTGAGTGTCACTCGATTGGTGCTCATACCTTAAGGTCAGTTCGGATGAAGGGGTTTTGAAGCATCTGAACTGCTTAGTCTATCTTCATAAATAAAACGTTTCTAACCACTTAAGATAGGCTGGAAGTATGATTCTCATCCTTGTAGGAGAGACCATGATATCAACTACCTTACTCCCCTTGGTGGAGTGAACAGGTGGAAATGGGGTCACAGTTAGGGAAGGCTTCTACAGTAAGAACTACTTAGTTATGGTCATAATATGAAGTCAAAGTATAGAGGAGCCTTCTATATCATTGTTCTGGGCATTGTACTGCCATACAGGCTTAGAGAAGCCTTCTAAAGTTATGGTCTACTCAAGCCACCTCATGCTCATAGTATAGATATCATGTACATGTGAAATGTTTTTATTAGTGTCTTAGACAAAACATGCTTAAATAGGTAAATACAACTTACATACCCAGCGTTAAAAGCATTAGCAGCTCTCTTCTTATATGTTTCCTCAAGTTCTATGCTACCTTAATATAGGTAAGAGGGCCAAGATCAGCATAAGGAGTGGTTTCCTCTAATTTCAGCACATTTCTTTAATTTTTTTTATCTCCACACCAACACACTAACCCAGAAGTGAAAATTGATTCATTCCTCTCAGCCTATCCTATGCAAGTATAATATACTCCTAGTTTGTAATACAGCACATTCTACTAACTCCTTCCCTCTAATTCACTTTAAGGTGGACCACAGAGGAAACATATACAATTATTATTGGCACGCTCTCAGTACATATGTTATACACAGAAGATCCAATATTTGATTATACAATTAAACTTTGAGGATGAAAAGTTGCAGATAAAACGCTAATAGAGAAAACGATTGACATCAAGTGAGTGGAAAATTGAAGGAAATTTTCAGTACGGATCGGAGTAAGGAAAAAGAAAGACTTTGGCGTACACACACCTCGACAAAGTTGGTGAATTTGGGATCTCTGTTCACAACCAATCTGTGAACCTGAACAAACAGATCGTGTGAGCAAAACGTAGGCCGCCAGTCTTAGGACCAGAACTAATTCGAAATTTAAAGCAACGTAACGAAATCAAGACGAATATATTACCTCGTATTCGACTTTGTGCTTCTCAGATTCCTCAAGAGGAATGTAATACTTGGCCAATCGCGTCTTTCCTTGTCGGTTCTGGAGCAGTATGAATCGGATCTGGCCATTTCATGTATATATGTTAACAAAATAGATTAACAACCACTTAACCGGAAGTGTACCGTAAAACTTTCAAACGGTAATGATCAAAATCGGTGCATACCATTTTAAAAGGGAAAACTGGATATGAAGAATTGCTCGAGTTGATTCAGGTACGCGCTGGAAATGAAATGAAAAACTTATCCCCCTCGCTTTGCCGCCGGTTTGGAGCGTTGGCTGGAGATTCAGGTTAGACTGGAATGAGAAGTCAGAGAGTTCAGAACGGAGGAAGGCACTGTATTTTTGTTTCGTTTAGTTTTTTTTTTTGGAGTTTTACCTTCTATTCAATTTCTTTTTGTTGAAATTTACGTTTAGAGATTTTATAATAATAATCTCTACTTAAATTTTTCACAAAATAATCTGAACTAGCAATAATAATCATAGAAATAAATTGAAGTGAATTCAAACTAATGCATCTTTAATACTTTCAATTCTTACTCTCACTTTTCTCTTTCTAGCTCTTTTTCTAGGAGAAATTCAAGCTAAACCTCGTTGAATCTCAACGGGATTTCCACCATATGTGGTTCTCTCTAGGTTGGAACATAGTAGTGATAACTGAGACAAAGTGTGGTGTAAGGGAAAGTGGAGTTAGGGTTGAGAGTATTAAATGATTATTAGTTTGAATTTACTTCAATTTACTCTTGTGAAAACTGTTGCTAGTAAGGATTAATATTGTGGACACTCCAAATAAGAATTATTATTATTGTGGAATCTCTAAAAGTAGGGATTGTTCTTGTGAATTTAGCCATTTTTAAGAACTTTCAATTCTATTAAAATAACGTTAATGAAAAAGATTATTCTTCATAAATGAACAAAAAAATCAAACTATTACCCACTTTCTCTCAATAGGATTCTCTCGTTTTTCAGTATCCCTTATCTCATAAAATTTATGTCATAACATATTTAATAATATCTATGTTGCACATAAATGCGAAAATTTTGAGAAAACGGAAAACGAGAAACGTCAACTTTTGCTCAAAAAAGGCTTGGTAAGAGAGTTTCCAAACAGTTTCCGTAGAGTTTCCGAAACGAAAACGTACTGTTTTCCGAGAGTTTCCGTGCTACATAGAATAATACGGAGTATTAATATAATTTTAGTTCGTTGATACTTTATTCACACTTTATCCATTCAATCAATTACGCAATTTAACTTCAGGAAAATCGTCGAATCAACTCACCTACCATTTTGAAAAAGTCAATTGAATCCACGTAATATTTATTGAATGAATTAAGTCTATCAACCGTCAATAAATGATCAAATATGCCTTTTCTCCAGTAATTGACTGGTCTATCAACGTGACTTTTTTTCCTACAAGCGATGATATGGCTGTCTGTGTGGCATTAGAGCTTCTTTTTCCCCTTTTTATTAAGGTAGATTCTATGGTACCCATGCATTTGTCCACATGGACCAATGAAAATGTATCAGTTGAATTATTTAAATCTAAATTAAAAAAGATAAAATGAAGTGATCCAATGAAATGAATGATAGGTACGGTACCCCATTTTTTTAAAGATACCGGAGTTGTCACTTTTTATTAAATGTTTTCTTCTTCTTCATTCTCCCATTCTCTGCAACTTTTTTCTCCCCTTTCTTCTTTCTTTATTTTCTTCTTTCTTTATTTTCTTCTCTTGTTTCTTCCTTCTTCATCCTCTAGCTTTGCATCTTCTACCACCGTCGATCTCTGCCACCACTATCTCCGTCAAGTTCTGTGATGAAAACGCCCAGCCATCTTCATCATTCTGCCGGCGCCGACGAGCTCTGCCGACGCCGTCGAGCTATGTCGCCTCTGTGGTACTCTCTGTCGCCTCCTGGTTGCCATTGAAGAAGAGGAAGGGTCGCCGTCAGGTCTCTGGGCATGAAAAGAGGGGATATAGAAGGTTGGGTGGGATAGAAGAAATAGAGTGAAGAAGAAGGGAAAAAAGAAAGAAAATGGAAACAAGAAGAGGGTGAATTACAAGAAAGAAGGAGAGAAAGAAGAAGGGGGGAAAGAAAAAATGGAAGGAAGAAGAGGGGGAGTTGCAGTGGGCGGATAGACAAGTGATATCAGTGGGCGAACCAGGGGGAAAGAAGAGGAAATAGAAAAAGGAAAAGAAGAGGAAAAAGGGAAAAGAAAATAAAAACAGTACAAAAAATTTTAAGGGGACTTCTACGGTGCACCATAATTTTAAAGAAATGTACCGTACATGCGAAATTTAGAGATACACCATAGAATTTTCCAAATTTTAAATGGCATCCAAGTCGGCAAAATAAGGGGTTACCGGTTGTTTACCGGTTAAATGGCGAATTTGATTGAAATTAGAGACTAGGTGTACTTAATTGATTGAATAAATGGTATGTGAACTCAATTAACCTTTTTGAAATAGTATGTGGATTGATTTGACAATTTTCTCTTTAACTTCTCTTAAAAGTCATACCACAATCTCTTATTAAATTTTAGAGGATATATTCTTTTGAGACATTTTTAAAATCATTGAGAAAGTTCAAAAAAGTCTTGGTGTATTTAAAACTATGAGAAAATAATTAAAATACCCCAAATTTTGAAGGGGTATGAGATAAACACTCCAAACTTTCATATGTAATTTAAATACCCCAGACTTTATATAAAAAGTTATTTTAACACCAGTATCATGTATTAGTTATTTCAAAAATGTAAATTTATGGTGTTAATCGCATACTTTAACATAGCGAATTGAAAACGTTGCAATTAGATAGAGTGGGGTACTACTCTTTATTTTACAATAGAAGTTTAGAATGTTAATTGTATCTTCATGAATGCTAAAAAAATTTAAATTATGAAATGAACACAAAAAATTAACATTTTTTAAATAAATAATACATGACCATGATACTAAAATAAGTTTTTATATAAAGTTTGGGGTATTTAAATTACATATAAAAGTTTGGGGTGCTATCCTCACGCTCCTTCAAAGTTTGGGGTATTTTAATTATTTTTTCCTTAAAACTTCATCAAAGCTTGGAATTGTTTTTAGATTAGGATTTCGCAACTAATTTACACTCGAAAAACTCATTATCAAATCTCTTGTATGTACCTGAGATTTGTGAGGCTCGTCAAGAACTGCACGTCAACTACGATTCTTCCTCTTTTCCCTACCGCGGTCCTAAAAAAAGGATGACACCCCATCTGATGGAGTATATGGCCCAGGAACCCCCGGCCCATAGACTCCCACTACTATGACAAAGGCCCAATAAGCCAGGGAGCACAGCAGGCCCAAATCACAGCACCTCAAGTGCCAAGCAGCCCACAACGTACACTTGGGTGCCTTCGGCTCCCATGGCCGAAGGCTCATAAACTTACAGTACAGCTGCTTTTAAGCACTCGAAGTTACTGGGAGAAAACGGCGAAAACAGTAGCCCTCGCCACCTAGAGCCCTCGGCATCTAAAGGCCCCCAGGATGAAGAGCCTTCGACTAATCATCTACAGCCGAAGGCATCTTCCTCGACAGAATCTCCCATCCACATGTGCTGGATCAACGTACCAAGTACAAACGTCACATCCAATCACCGCATTTAATGCGGCCACATGCGAGTGCCGGTGCCGCCCCAGTTGAGGTGACCCCTCGACCATCAGATTGTTGACATGTGTCCCTATCTAGCATTTGTTGCTGCTATAAATAGCACCCCTTTCCCCGTTTGTAAAACACGCTGAATACGCTTTAAAGTAATACCACTCTCTCTCTTATTTTTGCTCTGACTTCTCTCTAAGTTACTCCTCACAGTAACCCCTCGGATAAGCTACCCCTCGGGTAGACTATCCATCATTTGGTGCTCTCGTTGAGAGACCGAACAATCAAGTAAGAAACCCTCCCCTTCAACTCAAAACACCTACCCAAAATGGGAAGAACCACTCGTGCTCAGTCCAAGAACCTTGAGGACAACAACCTGGCCCTCGGTGAAGTCAACGCCCCCGGAGCCTCTAACAAGGCTCCCGAGGGTGGGGTCATCACCGAGTTGGAACAGGCTGCTGTTGACCTGCGCCTTCAGCTCCAGCAAAACGCTCCCGATGCCCGCCTTGGCATCGAAACCCGAAGGAAGGACCGGAGCGAAAATCAAGTGAGGCCTCCGGTTCTCACTATCGACGTACAGTCGGCATTCTCTGTCTTCATCCAAACACTCACTCAAAACCAGGTGCCTTCGGCACCCTGGTGCCCCTTCAACCGCAAATCGGGGAACGACGAAGGGGTCGTAGCTTAAAACACCGCATCCCAGGAAGTCCAATCCCGGGACCAACGCGGTGCGAACAAAGAAAGGCCTCGGACCTCAGCCCTCGAGAGGCTCGAAGGAGCGCAAGACCGCCGAGGGGTCCAAGACCGCCTCGGTGGAAAGGCGTCCCAAAGACCCCAAGAGAGCGGGGGATCCATCTCAAGGGCAGACGAGAGGCGTCCCCATGAAGACAAATGCAAGGCACCACTTCATGCCGATGATGCAAGGCATCAAATCAACCAGGCCCACTCGGCCTGTGTACGTTCGCAGGGGGCGGAGGCCCTCCCGAAGGATCACAGGGACGAGATTATTGCGGCCCTCCAGCACCGGCTTGATGAAACGGAGGCCCAACGAGCACATACCGCCGTCGCCACCCCTCATATAGATCCCAAATATGAGGCCATGATGGCCAAAATGGAGGAGATGCAAAAGAGAATAGTCAAGGGCTCCGGGGAACCCGTCATCCAACTCCGGACTAGGACGCCATTTACCCCAAGGGTATTGGTGGCCCGAATTCCGGAAAAATACCGGGGGCAACCCATCAGGTCCTATGAAGGAAAGACAGATCCCCAAGAGCATTACAGCAGATATCAGAACAGTATGATGATGGTGGGGGCATCAGACGAATATTTGTGTCGTTGGTTCCTCTCCACCTTAGAGGGACCAGTATACGAATGGTTCAACCGACTGCCCGAAGGCTGTATCGATTCATGACAAGAACTTGCCCAACGCTTCTTGACGCAGTTTGCAGGAAGGCGTCGGTCAAGAAAACATTTCTCCCCCTTGCTGACGGTGAGACAAAGGAAGGAGGAGACCCTTCGGGACTTCTTGGAACGCTGGAGGATGGAGGCGGATAAAATTGATGGCGTTGACGATGGGACCCTCCTGGCCCTCCTTCAAACAGTCCTCCGCCCCGGGAACTTTTCAAGTTGCCTCATCATCGAACCTCCCCGCGATTACATAAGGGCCTTACAGCGGGGGGACCAGTACGCCGAGGTCGAGGAGGTGGGAAAATGCCATCACAACCCTGATCAGCAACGCCCTCGGCCATATGACA